TCACCGACTTCGGTAATTCATTTACCGATTTCTCAACAGCTGAACGGTCGGTAATGTTTTCGGTAATCGAGAACATTACCGAAAAATCTGTAAACTGGATCAACAAAATTAGCTGTCAAATTTACCGAACGATCGGTAACGTTTACCGATGTGCATTGCTTGATTTGTTGTCGACTTTACCGGAGAACTGTAATTTTGAGGACGATATGCAAATCGAAAATTACCGAGTGATCTGTAATTTTTTAAAAAGGTCAACTGTAATGTGCTTTAATATTGTTTCAAGGTGGCGGTCACTGCAACCCATGCACAAATTTGGCTGCAGACGTGATCAATAAGTTAGTGTTGCAAATTGCACCACCAATGAACAAAACCGTTGGCGACGATCTGAAAACTTAAGTTTTTGTCGGAAAGATTCAGCGCTACATTGAAAACAAGGAAGCATTGGAAGATCGTCGCCAACGGGAATGGAACTTGAACCGACAGAAGAAAAAACAAGCAACAACATCGGCCATCTGTGATCGGTATTTATTTAGATACCGAAAATTAATTATTTACGGAAAATATCTACGATTCGCTCATCTTGGTGTTGCATAACAGCCTCCATAATTTCACCTTTTTTATTTTTCACAAGCACGAACGCTTTTAATGTCGACCAAAAATAACAATATGGTGGATTTGACGTTTACCTAGACCGTTACCGAACTCAGTAACGGAACGCTTTGTTTACAGAAACTTCAGTAAAATATTTCACCGAAGTCAATGATGAAGCTGATTTACAGACCTGCCGGTAAAAATGTTTACCGTTTTCGGTAAATTAAAATAAAATTAACGAAATTCGGTCATTTAATTTACAGTTTTCAGCAATAAAGCGAGAAAATACCGAAACATCTGTAATTTTTAGCATAACCGATCTAAGACGGTAATTTTTTTACCGAACTCAGGGTCTCTGTTTAAGTGAGTAAGTCAAAATTTTCAAAATTTCCGTTAGAATTACGTTGGTTAGTATTTTGATTTCTACCCGTTGCAGTAGCAGCATAGGTAGCTCCATTAACTCGCTGAACATTGTTAGCAGCGACGGGAACAGGTTTAGATGAAAAATTTGAAGCAAGGGTGATATTTGTACCTACGGGTACGAATGTAGAATTTGTTCCTCGCTGACCGTTGTCAACAGCAGAGGAATTTGTACCTGATCGGGAACGTGGAGCGTTTCCTACGTGTCACTTAGAACTTGATTGTAGGATCGCTTTGGGAGTCTTACATTCCCAAAAATTGGATTTGTGGTTTTCACCACAATTTGAACATTTAAATTTCTTAGGATCTTCCTTCACAGGACAGTCGTCCTTTGCGTGAGAGGAATCACCACAATTCATGCATTTAGCTGGCATGTAGCAATTTTTAGTTCTGTGACCCCATCCCTGGCACTTACGGCACTGAGTGAGGTTTTGGAAATTTCCTCCAGTCTTCCTGAAGTGTTCCCACTTCACTCGGGCATGGAGTATAAGGCTAGCTTTTTCTAAGGCCTTAAGGTTGTTTAGTTAACTATTCAAGTCTAGTTAACTAGACAACTAAATGAAAATCATTAGAAATCCCGTCGCGTGAATCGCCAGGACGGGATTTCATTTTCATTTTGATTACTTGGAGTGGCACAACTTCAAGTAATTTTGCAGTTCATCTTTGATCTGATCCAGAGATTCACCACTGGGCAGTCCTTTCATGACAACCTTGAACACACGTTAAGTTTTGGTGTCGTAAGAAGAAAATTTGTGCTGCTCCTCAGTAAGATATTTGAGAAGACATTTAAATCCGTCCAAGGTTTCAGCCAATACACGGCATTCACCCCGACGTCCAATTTGTACTGAAAACTTAACTTTCACGAAGTTCAAAAGTTCCATGCGAAGAGCATGGAAATTGGAAGTGGTTATCACAATAGCGGGAATCTTTTCCTTCTAGACATTAAGCCGGGAAAGTTTATTAGAATTTTTCTAATGATGGAATGATGGATTATTCTCATCATCCGTGAGCAAATCAAATTGATTGCTCAATTTAATTTCATCAGAAGGAGGATCAAGAGTTTGCCCTTTTCTTTTGTGCTTAGGCACCATGGCGGCAGTAGATTTTTATCCAAATCGACTTCCAAGCAGATTACTATAAGAATCTGAAGGATCGAAGAGGAATTTTCCAAATCGATATTCAAGAAGGATTACCTCGGGTAGGGTCCAAACAAGCATCGAAGAGGAATAAGAGTTGAACAAGGTAGACATTTTACAGGTTGAACACTGAAAAGTGCTGTTAAATTTGTTGTAGCTTTAGGTAGTAGTAACACTTCCTTCAGCAAAAAGCAAATAGATCCCGCACGGCAAGAGAGCACGATGTGGACTGTTTCATACAGTGGTTAATTCATTGGATCGCGCCACGGGCAGGCTATGGAAAGTCAACAACATTTTTTTAAAATTATAGTCACTTTTACGCTCTTGGGTCATTCGTGTCTTGTCCGGGGTGAGATTTGAACTCGTGACTTTGGCGTAAGAGATATGGATGCTAACCACTACGCCGGGGTCTAATACAACAAGTGTGGACAAAAGTGGACTCAGGTTACTTCCATGAGGGACTCCAGAGGTGCAGGTAAACGTAGAAGAGACAATTATACCTCACTATACCTCTGAGATATCCCATTCATGTTTTGGCCATAAATATGGACTTACGTGATTCACAAAGACCTTGCTTTCAGTAAACCATAGGCTCATATTATAGGGTGCATCGAAGCTTTCATTTGGCGGGTGTTCCAGCGATACTGTTTTGTTCTTTAATTAAGTTTTTTCATTAGAGAAATTGTGATTTTAATGGTTTTCAAGTCGTCGCACATAGGAGTATTAGACCCAAAAAGTTGGCCAAAAGTCCGAAATCCGTAATGTGTGAATCTCATAATTTTTATCGTTTAAGAAACTACATATTGTAGTCATCATATAATTACTATTCTGGACCTGACTCACGCTTTTACAAATCTACCCAATTGTCATTATTAGCAGCATTGAGCTTTTTTATTGTTTTTTTTTCTCAGTAATTCGGAGCAAGAGAATAAAAAATAAAATAAATAGGTAAGAGAAATGGATGTAGTGTCGGTCTAAATGCCCTAATTTGGTCCCATACATAAATTTAACAATCAACTAAATTTTCAATAACGACCAAAAATTTCCATTAGTACCGTCTTAATGACGATAAAATTGATAAATAGCAGATTTTTAGCGATGGGCCCAATCTTAAATCCATAGGTCTATTTCCCCTATAATTTGACATGGGTAAGCATGTAAAAGGTAAAAAGAATGTTTTTCAAATACTTTCATCAATAAATACATAATAACCTCTATTGTCACGAAAAATGACATTGAAAATAGATACAAGAAATATGGAAAATTAAATTATCACTTAACTCACTTTCCGGGATTTTCTCAGTGTACATCCATTAACCTAAAAGGAAGATTGAAATCTTTGGACCATTGTGGCAGATGCAAACGTTTCGCCTGATTCCTCTTTGCTATTTTCTTGATGGTGTAAACATTTGCTTGTATGCAATTCTTTCAAAGTTCTGTTCATTGCATTCCTTTTTTTTAGAATTTAAAACGTCGTATTTTAGTATATTTAGAGTATTTTTACAATCGAGTATGAAATAATATTGCCTGTACCGTGGGAGTTAAAATCAACCATGGAGCGGGAAGTACCGCATATATGTCGAAAAGTTGTTTGTGATTAACAGAGACTCTAGGAGCAATATATACAGAAGCAATACAAAGGCTCTTACCTTTAATGGTAGCCTGACATGCGACAACTTTAATACCGGGGAATTCCGGAAGATTCACTCTTTAGAAGGAATGGCACTCTTTGATCCCCAAAAGTACCCCTCCTCCACGTGAATCCTCAGGATCCAATCGAATAATGTTAAAATCATAAAAAGTGAGATCAATTTCTGAAGAGAGCCTATGTGCTTTAATGTGAATGATTGCTACATAGAAACTATTTTTTTAGCAACAAAATTAAGCAATGACACCGATAATGACCATGCATCAGAACCCTGGTCTTAACCATTTCAAACTAGGGAACAACGAATAAAAGACTAACTAACTATTTTTTTTTCATGTTCCAAGATCATCATCGGTCCAGGCAGCCCGAGGACTTATCACTATCAACAAGGCATGAAAAGTAACAAAGGCTAAGATGTGTTCCTTTAATTACTGAAAAATTCTGTTCCCTAGTTTGACTAGGAATCGGTGGTAGATCTCTTACATCCCGTAACGTACCACGAAAAGATGATCTTACCCACGCCACGGACCCACGTTACGGGGAAATTATCTACCTTATTGACATCATACAAAAATGAGAAGTTGGAGATGCTGGGTATCGATCCCAGTACCTCTCACATGCTAAGCGAGCGCTCTACCATCTGAGCTACACCCCCGTGGTGATAGAATTACTGGTTATTAACCAACTTTATTGACAATAGTAGAAAAAAAAATGTTCTCAAGCTATTCAGTTGGTCTCAAAAACTCAAACCTAAAATGTATGTACACTCGCTATGCAGTATGCAAATCAGTTTAAAATTTTAAATTTAGTAGTCTGGTTTTTTTTTTCGCAGTGAAATTCTGAGTTTTGTGCTCGACATTGTATTATTTCAATGATCAATATTCAAACATTTAACAAATAGATGAAGGAATTCACTCTTAATTAGTTTAATTTGAATAGAATTTATGCAGTAAAACCCTATTTTAATAATTTGAAAAAAAATTTAAAAAAAAATGATTAAAATTGAACTCATCTGCCTTACGGTCAAAATGAAAACCTTCAAAAGCTGGAGATGCTGGGTATCGATCCCAGTACCTCTCACATGCTAAGCGAGCGCTCTACCATCTGAGCTACATCCCCTTGATTAACATCCGAACCATATCTTATAAAAATGATCTAAAACACTCTAAATTAGAACTAAAAACCGGATCTCAAAGCCTACATACCGAACAACGTGCTTGTGTCTCTCAACCCAGTACTTAATCGCACTCCGGACCATCAGCTCCTGTTTATGGGTCAGCCCGTTCGGGTTCCCGTTCATGGCGTTGTTGTCGTTAAAAGTCTGCAACGTAGACGGCGCCCGGAACTGCGCTCCCCAGTCCGCCTTCGAGTTGTAGATGCCTTGCAAGTCAAAGTCCTTCGTTGCGGGGTCTTTTTCTGCAAAAGGAACAGATCAAATTTGCTCGGTGAGAAATGGTAAAAATTTCGGTTGGAGATGCCGGGTATCGATCCCGGTACCTCTCACATGCTAAGCGAGCGCTCTACCATCTGAGCTACACCCCCGTTGGTTGTTGAACAATAGTCAGATCGCACAAATAAGCCCTCACTGACCTACTTCGCGCTTAATACCGCCGGATTAAAGGCCAACTTGTTGATACATTTCTACTGCTGCCCCACTTCAATTTCAAGCACGATTCAAAGCTCATGTTAACGCTGCACTACTGAAACTGCTAGTAACTACCATCCGTACGAAATGGAGGGATATGCTTCGGTATTGGACCACAGTAGGTATAGATTTACCAGGCAAGCGACAGTGACTGGTCCACATGGTCTGATATTGACGGTGAAAGGAGATTGTGAATAAATGCACTGCACGTACCACGCCTTCCAGCAGAATTTTGTCAGCAAGCGGTACTCCGATACCAGATACACGTTGAAAAATTGAGTCGTAACAATCAATTAATTATTAATCTAGGCTAAGCGTTAGAATTTAAATGTCTTCTTAAATGTTAATAATATCATTATTGACCAGCTTGTGCTTGAAGGGTTAAAACTTATTTCAAATCATGTCTGCATTGCCAGACCGCGTTCCCCACTCAGCAAAGTGTATAGGTATTTTTATCCGTCAACATGCCACCGCTAAAAGCATTGAAATCCCGTTCAACCGTACTCGTACAGCAGTAGACCAAGCAATCAACCGTGGCACGGTGCAGTCAGTGGAGGTGGATACAAAAGTCCTTTGGTGTCTATTTTTAAGCCGTGTAGCTTTATTTTAAAACCACCAGTTCGTTTTTCAGCGGTGAGCTTTCAACGTTGACGGGGCCGCACAGCAGCTGATTGCCAGTACAGAGCAAAAGTCAGACACTTACCTTCATTCAAAATCAGCTCCGACTTGGATCCGGCGGAAATGGCACGGAACAGGGCTGCCGAGTTGGGTCGGTAGGTGTCCAGCGAGGCGGAGAGCTCCATCAAGGGGCGCATAATTCCCTGTTGAATGAGGAGCAAGAGCAAGGAACAGATAAATGAGACCGATGCAAAATGAAATGCATAAAAGAGTGACTCTGGATTGAGATTAATTTGCCCGGAGTGTGACAAGGTAGCACTTATACCTTCAGATGTTGCAATTGTTCACAGGCAAAAAGCAACCAAGAGCAGAACAGCACATCGGCGAGATTGGCCTGGCAGATCGAGAACAGCAGGAAATAAGCCTGTCAGGGAGAGAAAGAGATTGAAATATGTTAAATGTGGTCTGGCTTGTCATCGTCGCTGGAATAACTATGATGGCTGAGGTCTTCAGGTTTACGGCAGGTGCTGGGAAAATTACAGCTGCTTTGACAGAGACATTTATGATCCGTGGAACCACCGCTGGCATTTTTTTTAGCCAGGGAAGGTGCCATTAGGAAGTGGCAGTCTGTCATATGTCGTGTGAGAATGATAAGTTGACCTTTTGAATACATTCAGGGCAGTTTGGGCAGACGATTAGACATTTTCTTTAAATTTTAAGGATATGGATATACTATTTCCGGCATCAGATCACACTTGAAATATTGAGATATCATTTCTTTTTATATTCGATTTATGAGCAGTTCCTGGCCAAATAGCAAAATTAATTATTTTTTTGTAACGGCATTCTCCGATTTGGAAGAAACTTTGCATAATTGTTTGTTACATTTGTAATACAATTCTGCCATTTTTAATCATGTTGATGTTTCCAAAATGGCTTATTCTAGATTTTTCAATAAATAGTAGCACGAAAATTTCACTTTTAACCGAAATGACGTCTTAGAGAAAGTTGTAGGGAAAGATAAAGTCTTTATTAAAAAAATAGAAACGGTAATTTTTTTTTGTCATTTGTAAGAAAATGTAAGTAACGTAAACGACGGCTTGGGAACCCATTCATTGTAGGCGCCATGCAACATCCGGTAGCAATTTTTTTGGTCGATTTTTTCTCCGATTATCACCAAATTTTAAGGTAGTAAAAAGAAGCAATAAAATAGAGTTTGTTTTGGCATCATTCATTTAATTTATTTCACCTTTATATACGAATGTACAAACCTTGCCCTTAAGAAGAAGTGCACCGCTCCGAAAAAAATAATTACGTTTTGATTTTTCTAAAAATATTGAAAAAAAAGTACCAACCATCTAACAAAATAGCATTCTTCTAATTTTTCAAAGAAAATTCACGTGCAAAAACATTTTTTATAAGTCATTATGGCAAAAAGTAGGACTCAAAAAACCACAAAACATCGACTTTTCGGTTTTTCTGAAAGTCCAATTTTTTTCATGATGAGATAGAAAAAATAATTTTACATGTTATTTGTGACAAAAACCTAAGGAAGAAACTGATTTTCTTGGATTTTTGATAATTTTTCCCAATGTTTTAAGAAAATAAAAACGTACAGAAAATATTTTTTTTATTTTTGGGCCGGTAAACTTCCCCTTAAGGTTCAATTTACACGGCGAATGAGAACGACCCAAATTTGAGTTTAGTTCACTCACAATCGCCAAAAGTGCAGGAACTTAGCGATGAGTAAAATTTGTCTCATGTTCTCCCAGGTTTTTCCAGGATTTTACAGGGAAAAATTCCCGAATTTGAGAAAAGTAAAAATTTGATTTACTCAGGCTATTGGTACTACTCCGAGACTGAATAAAATTTTCGTCAATTTCCTCATTTTCCGGCAGATTTTTTAAGTTTTCCTCAGGAAACCATGAGACAAATTTACTCATCGCTGAGTTCCTGCACTTTTGGCGATTTTGAGTGAACTAAACTCAAATTTGGGTCGTTCTCATTCACCGTGTACTTTGATGCATGTTTTAAAAATTCAAAAGCAGATTTTTTCGACGCATTATTTTAGATTGCAAAAATCTCGCGTCATTTTGTTTAAAATATCAAAAGAAATCGAATAGTGCGAGCTTTTTGCAATCTGAAATAATGCGTCGGGAAATAACTGCTTTTGAAATTTTCCAAAAAGCTTCAAAGTAAATTAAACCTAAAGCCCAGCCATAACCCAGGTAACCAAAAGTTCTGATAAAAGGCTATTTGTGGCTTAAGCAGCTTGGTTGAAGGTGGTCTATAGAATTCTAAGCAGCCTCATTTTTAAGTCTTTATAAGAACTTGAAAGTTCCGGTACCATAATTGAAGAGCATTCTAAGCAGCTTCTGGCGGAGCTTGAACGGAACTTTTGGAAAATAAATTAGAAAAGGTTTTTGTCCTCTACATATTTAGTTCGCACTTTTATGAAAGTTATTTCTAAAGGCAGGTATGAACGTGTATTGGTTTATCAGCATTAGTAGTAGAATTGGAGCTGTTTGATGAATTAAACCCAGTCCTTCTGCGTGAAAGCCCCGGCATGAACCGCTACGTCATCTGAGCAGTGTTGTAAATTTGGCAACTCTGGAAAATGTTGTTTAGAGGTCGCCCCGACGATGTTTTTGAAAAAAAAGTCCATTTTTCATAACTATTATCCAATAAATATTTTAGATCTTTAAATTTCAGTGAAATCTCACCCTTTTATATTTTTCGCAGATTCCTAAGGGTCAAAACTATAAGAGAAAAAATTGCAACGGCATGTTCTGTGTCCAATTTGTTAGTTACAGCATGTCACCAAAATCCAAGCTCAAGTCGGATCTCATCACCGGTATTGCGAGGAAGCATTTGCCCAGAAACCGTTTGCCGTCGGAGTTGGCCGTCATCAGGTACTTTCGATTCAAGCATGAAATCCAACAATGGACTTTTTTCAAAAATATCGTCGGGGCGACCTCTAAACAACATTTTCCAGAGTTGCCACCATACAAAAGTTTGTTTTTAACACCCTTAGCTATCATTTGGAGGGTGAGCCCCCAGATTTCCAGACATAGTGCAATTTTGGGACACCCTAATATATAGCGTTTCTCAAATGAGAATGATCCATGCCTTTGTCATATGACTAAGCAACTGATATCACCCATTCAAAGGAGGTCTCCTTTGGTAGCGAATAACAACTTTTCTCATTTTCATCAAAAATGTTCAAATGATTTTGAGAATTTACAGCACTGCATCTTAGATATATTAATGAGAGCTGTTGTCCCGCCTACTGTTGGAATTTTCAGTGCCAGCTGACTGACTTTAATACGAAACACAGAACTCAGAACTTTATTCAAACTTTATGGAACTTGAAAGTTCTGTCGGAACTTTATTTGAACTTTATGGAACTTGAAATTTCTGTCAGAACATTATTTGAACTTTATGAAACTTGAAAGTTCTGTCGGGACTTTATTTGAACTTTATGGAACTTGACAGTTCTGTCGGAACTATATTTAAACTTTATGGAACTTGAATGTTCTGCCAGAACATTATTTGAACGTTATGGAACTTGAAAGTGATTTTCATCGTTGAATGCGGAACTTTTGGTTACTTGGGAAGGCTCTGCACGACCTCAGAATCGACAGTTTTTTGCATATTAACCCATGCTTTCTTCATTTCTTCTACATTCTTCTCCACTTTAGGTCGTTTCAGAAGGTGCTCCTTTATTATAGCCCAGTATTTTTCTATTGGGCGCAGTTCCAGATAAATTTCATGACAGGATCGCGTGTTCTTTGATATTGTCTCATACGGACATTTTTCAGACGGATCAAGAGCTGAAAATCGTCGTCTATTATTGAATCGAATTTAACCTCGCATATTGGTACTGAGGCAGCAGAGATTCAAGAGCATAATGGGTAGCATGGGTAACCAATTGGCTACAAAATTGACATGAATCAGCTAACCCCATATCAAAAGTTGAGGGATTTCTTTTAAAAAAAAAACATGTTTGGCTGTTTGGATATTGAATAGAAAGAAATAGAAAAATCATCAAACAGAATATTACCATTGGAATTGCTTTGAGCATTATTCCATGAGCGGTGTTTTGCATTGAAATCACCAATAATGAAGAATTAAGACCTTTGACGGGTAAGTTTCAGAAGGTCACCTTTGAGAAAACTCTTTTGCTGGCCTACGCATTGTAATGGCAAATAGGCAGCTATAAACGTAAGTTGTCCAAATTTTGTTTCAACGGAAACTCCCAAAGCTTCAAAAACTTTGGTTTCAAATGAAGAAAGAATTTTATGTTTGATTCCTCTATGAACAATGATGGCCACGCCACCACAGGGTCCATCAAGACGATCATTTCTATAAACCAAAAATTTAAATAGCTCGTCTTCATTATCTTGAATAGATCGAGCATTCCAATTTAAAATATTTAATGCTTTAAAATCCATTACTGAATTTTAAAGTCATGACAATATTATTTGCAAATTTTACCCCAGTTTGAATAGCATCAAACATGGAGTTAGATTTAAGCATATCAGAAATCATGTCAATTAATGATTTCTGTAAAAATTCCATTTTAGGTGCAGTAATACTTCCTAAGTCAAAATTGTCAAAATTTTCGTTAGAATTACGTTGGTTAGTATTTTCATTTCTACCTTGTTGCAATAGCAGCATAGGTAGCTCCATTAACTCGCTGAACATTGTTAACATTGTTAGGTACAGATGACAAATTTCAAGCAGGGGTGATATTTGTACCTACGGGTACGAATGTAGAATTTGTTCCTCGCTTACCGTTGTTAACAGCAGAGGAATTTGTACCTGATCGGAAACGTGGAGCGTTTCCTACCTGTCGGTTAGAACGAGATTGTAGGATCGCTTGCAAGTCTTACATTCCCAAAAATTGGATTTGTGGTTTTCACCACAATTTGAACATTTAAATTTCTTAGGATCTTCCTTCACAGGACAGTCGTCCTTTGCGTGAGAGAAATCACCACAATTCATGCATTTAGCTGGCATGTAGCAATTTTTAGTTTTGTGACCCCATCCCTGGCACTTACGGCACTGAGTGAGGTTTTGGAAATTTCCTCCAGTCTTCCTGAAGTGTTCCCACTTCACTCGGGCATGGAGTATAAGGCTAGCTTTAAGGTTGTTTAGTTAACTATTCAAGTCTAGTTAACTAAACAACTAAATAAAACGGACGGGATTTCATTTTCATTTTGATTACTTGGAGTGGCACAACTTCAAGTAATTTTGCAGTTCATCTTTGATCTGATCCAGGGATTCACCACTGGGCAGTCCTTTCATGACAACCTTGAACACACGTTAAGTTTTGGTGTCGTAAGAAGAAAATTTGTGCTGGAAGGTCCGCTTTCAGAAGCGTCCGAGAACGGTTGTGTGTTTTTGCTCCGCTGCGTGCTTTTTTTTTAGAGCTCGGGCTATCTTTGTGCTGCCGTGTAGTTTTTCGGTGCTCGCATTTGAATAGTTTTATGTCCCGGACGCGATAATTCTATTTAGAATGATTTGTGCTGATGTTTTTCCCCTGTTGCTTTGGTGCCTGGTGTGCTCTCGCTCCCTTTGTTGACAGTGTGACTCGACCGCGCTGATCTATTATTAGGTTTTTGCGGTGTGCATTGCTTTTGTGCACAGAGTGACATGAAGAAGAAAAGTGATATTTAGTTATTGTGTGTTTGGATTCGCTGGAGGAGGAATTGTTTAAAAATGACTAGAGAAAATTAAGCATCGAGAATGCGCTCCCGGATGTATTGATTTGGTGAGTACGTTCCAGTTGAAGATTGTTCTCTCTAAATATCCCTTTTTTGAATACGTTTCATCAATCAAACATTATTATATGTTGGGTTTGGGGGGGGGGGGGGGGGGCAGCCTAAGGGTTTCAATGGATTTGTAGACTGGACAAGTGTTCGTGGATTTGCCAGTCCCTTGTCACGTGTTGATAGACGTACATCTTGTCGTTTGTCTTCCAAAGGTCTTCAATGAAGTTGATTCACCCAGCTGCAACAAACCATCAGGCAGAACTTTACAACCAGTGAAGTATCTGCAGTCATATGTAATCCTTGCACTGATGGTGGGTTCTATTCACATCACATGTTCCCCTATTAAAAAGTGAATTTGTGTCGCATATATTATAATCTCATCTTATTCTGGATTTTACAGTCAGCTTCACAGGTGTCAACCTCCTGCCCAGGAATAAGGAAAACTTCGTTAAAGTCTCTTATTGTGTTTCCCTTCCGACTGGGGGACTTGTAGACTTCGGGGCAAACTTTCTTTGACGGTGGTGGATTATTCCCTTCGTTCGCCTCCGTATCCGAAACTGGCTACATCTGTTCCAATTCTGCTTCAGCCTCCAAGCGAGTCTTGAACTCTCTTTTTTTCACTCAATTGATACGTTCCCACATTGGGTTTGGCATGGAGAACTCGTCTTGAGAGAGTTTCGCTACCGCGTTTTTTTCCGGCCAGTGTAGGATTCCAGCTTCTTTCCAACCAGAAAGAATTACGGTTAGGCATGTTTCGCATCTTTCAATTGTTTGTACCACTTTAAATGGCATTTTTTCCGCACTTGAACTTGGACGACACTAGCTGACTCCCTTCCGAAACATTTTGAACTGTCACTTTTCTCCAGGCAACTTTGTCATCATAAAACTGAACGGTACCAAGTCAAGTCAAAATGGATAATAAATAAACAATAAGGTATTCAAATTTACTTTATAAATGCTATAATAAACCATTGTGCAGCGATGATCGAGACGTTTCCGTCGGATAAGATTATTTTGCGGCCGAGTGTCTAGGAAGCTATGGAAACCGAAATGGCTCTTGATTTTGTTTTATGCCCTTATAGTATAAACCACCATCGCACTTTGTGAGTTGCCCCAATAGAACCCTTGCTTTTGGTTTGAATCAGTACAAATTCGTTCTATTATATATATAAAAAAAAAAAGAAGTATACATATTCATTTTCTTCCGAACTAAATAAACCACCATCACACTTTGTGAGTGGCCCCAACAGTATCCTTGCCGTTGGTCTAAATCGGGTCAAATCGGTTCTAATAATTATTTTATATTCAATCAAGTAAACCACCATCACACTTTGTGAGTGGCCCCAACAGCATCCTTGCTGTTGGTTTAAATCGGTTCAAACCGCTTATAATTAATTATTTTGGTCATTGATAAAATAAAATAAACCATCATCACACTTTGTGAGGGGCCCCAACAGTATCCTTATTGTTGGTTTAAATCGGTATACACACATCTAATAATGATCTACATCTCTAGACAGCCGGCTGTTTAGAGCATAAATCGAAAACACTTATAAATAACTACACAAAACAAAAGATCGCATCACTTATCAAGGTGAATCCTGATCCAACGAACCTAACCCACTAACAAAACCTCCTTCCTGTGACTTTTGTGGGATGCAGAGGTAAACACGGTCCCAAAACAACAAAAGTCACACACTAACATTCCTTCCCTCTCCCACCTGATTGCAAGGACGTGGCCGGTGACGTTATTGATCTTTAAAGGTAGGAGTCACTGGAACATGTACACTGAGAATGGCAGGTTACTACCAAGCCCCATTCAGTTGATTCTTTGTACAATTTCACTGGTTCAGATCAATCACGGAGTGCAACTATCGATACGTGCAGTCAGACTAAGCTAAGCTAAGCTAAGCGTAAGAAGAAAATTTGTGCTGCTCCTCAGTAAGATATTTGAGAAGACATTTAAATCCGTCCAAGGTTTCAGCCAATACACGGCATTCACCCCGACGTCCAATTTGTAGTGAAAACTTAACTTTCACGAAGTTCAAAAGTTCCATGCGAAGAGCATGGAAATTGGAAGTGGTTATCACAATAGCGGAAATCTTTTCCTTCTAGATATTAAGCCGGGAAAGTTTATTAGAATTTTTCCTGGATGATGGATCATTCTCATCATCCGTGAGCAAATCAAATCGATTGCTCAAATTAATTTCATCAGAAGGGGGATCAAGAGTTTGCCCTCTTCTTTTGCGCTTAGGCGCCATGGAGGCAGTAAATTTTTATCTAAATCGACTTCCAAGCACATAATTGTAAGAATCTGAAGGATCGGAGAGGAATTTTCCAAATCGATATCCAAGAAGGATAACCTCGTATAGGGTTCAAACAAGGATCGAAGAGGAATAAGAGTTGAACAAGGTAGACATTTTACAGGTTGAGCACTGAAAAGTGCTGTTAAATTTGTTGTAGCTTTAGGTACACGGAAACAAATCCGATTCCATTTTCATGAATAAAAATTCATGAAATGAAAAAACTTGCCATTCCATGAAATCGTAACGATAATTCATGATTTTGTCATGGAAATTCATGATTTCATAATGCAGTGGAATCAAGACCACTACAAGCGTTACACGTACTTGGCAAACCGTGTTCATAAACCGCACTACATAGGTATGTCTTATACGCCATTTGTCTTCCAACTTACACACAATTTTTTTTCTAATACAACAAGTGTGGACAAAAGTGGACCCAGGTTACTTCCATGAGGTACTCCAGAGGTGCAGGTAAACGTAGAAGAGACAATTATACCTCACTATACCTCTGAGATATTCCATTCATGTTTTGGCCATAAATTTGGACTTACGTGATTCACAAAGACCTTGCTTTCAGTAAACCATAGGCTCATATTATAGGGTGCATCGAAGCTTTCATTTGGCGGGTGTTCCAGCTATACTGTTTTGTTCTTTAATTAAGTTTTTTAATTAGAGAAAGTGTGATTTTAATGGTTTTCAAGTCGTCGCACATAGGAGTATTAGACCCAAAAAGTTGGCCAAAACTCCGAAATCCGTAATGTGTGAATCTCATGATTTTTCTCGTTTAAGAAACTACATATTGTAGTCATCATATAATTACTATTCTGGACCTGACTCACGCTTTAACAAATCTACCCAATTGTCATTATTAGCAGCATTGAGCTTTTTTATTGTTTTTTTTTTCTCAGTAATTCGGAGCAAGAGAATAAAAAATAAAATAAATAGGTAAGAGAAATGGATGTAGTGTCGGTCTAAATGCCCTAATTTGGTCCCATACATAAATTTAACAATCAACTAAATTTTCAATAACGACCAAAAATTTCCATTAGTACCGTCTTAATGACGATAAAATTGATAAATAGCAGATTTTTAGCGATGGGCCCAATCTTAAATCCATAGGTCTATTTCCCCTATAATTTGACATGGGTAAGCATGTAAAAGGTAAAAAGAATGTTATTCAAATACTTTCATCTATAAATACATAATAAAGACACCTCTATTGTCACGGAAAACACACAAAAAAAAAACACATTACTAGCAAACATTGAATTAATTTCAACAAAAAAAAAATCAATGATTTGTAGTTTTGGCCAACTTTCTGGGTCAAATACTTCTACGTGTGCTGTCGACTATTTAGATGTGTCTCAAGCTTTTTTGACATTTTCAAGATGAAATTTTCAGAACCACGCTCTATGATAAGGCAATGTGACGTTTAAATTCCCGGACCCATATATATGATACACTTGAATCTACCGGAAAACTTTTTCAATTTCCAGTAATTTCATGTCTGCTTTGGCTTATTGTAAAAGTTTCCGTTCGGTCAAACCTACCTGATAAATGAAGGAGAAAACGTACGCCACTCCGCTCATGGCATCCCATGGGTACAACGCCTTGATTGGTAGCCGTGGAATTTCCACCTGGTAGGTTTCATTGGTATCCTTATCCATCACGTTCTTCACGCTTTCGCCAAAGAAGGTTATAGTTATCCACGCTGCACGTTTGGGTAAGAAAAAGAAAAAAAAAATAAAAAAAGTTAAACCGTAATTAATCAACCCGCGTGCCTCCATATCCAGTTTGGCTTCTGGACACCTACCGACAACCGAAAGCAACGATGTTGCCATCACCATGACCAGCAGTTTTCGCATCTTGGCCAGGGCAATCGAATGATACCGGGCGTCCGACTCGGCGAATAGCGTATGAACATTCGGTTGGTTCCAGATTCCCAGCGTTCGGTAAAAGTTTTCCGAGTTGACGGCAAAGTAGATGAACTTGGTCACCGAGTGGGTGAAAAACAGCGTCGTTATGGTGTTGGCTGTCAGCTCGTTAACGTCGCCCGTGTTCATCACCAGGTTGCCCATGATGGCGACAAATTGCAACAGGATCATCACCAGATTCCACCAAGAGTAAATCTTGCGAATGAAAATCGGTCCGGTCACATAGCGGAACAGAAAGTGACCGAAACCTTGCATCAGCCGGATGTTCGGCATCAGGTCGGCCACCAGGCCGGTGTACTTTGTCGGTTGAACATTCATCTGGAAGAGATTGGAGGTAAAAAATATAAAGGGATGGGGTGAAGTTTGGTTGAACTCTCTAAAAAGTTGAAGTTTTAAAAATCATCCTCTTCTTCTTGGCTTATGACGTCCCCCGACTAGAATTGAGGAGAGCCAAATTCCTCAACCTACAGTTATATTAATTCCTATACATATCGTGTGACACGCTCAAATAAGCTCATTGGGAGTAATTTAATCATCTGATCTATTTTGAATGACTGGTGTTAAATAAAACAAAAACCAATCAAAGCCTAAATATTGGTTTTATTTTGCAATTTTTGGTATTCAAATCTAGAAACTTAAGGTGGGGACCTGTTGGGATCTCTAAAAAAAAGAGTATTTTATGTGAATTTGTTCAAGAACATTAGAATAAATGCAATCACTTTAGGCATACAGTATGTTATTAACCAACAATTCAGATGAATTTTCGAAAATTTTCAGTCCAAAATATATTTTTTTTCCGCTGTTGGCAGCCCTGCAACCACATAGATGCAGGCGATGTTTTTGCAAAACTGCCAAAATGGCGACATTCGAAAAAAATTAAAGTTCGATTTTTCGTTAGGGTACGTGTTCCTGTAATAGTGGTGTACTTATAGTTGCGGTACGGAGGTTGTGCCGAAATAGTGAGGAGAACCCGGATAAGATTATTTTTCATCAGTAGCTCTCCTAAAAAAAGCATATTTGCATATTTCAAACATAAAATATGCCCGAAAGTGATGGAAAATAATTAATTTTCCTTAAAATTTTCACTCCTTTGCACCTATAGTTAGGGTAGTGTTCCTAAAATTTATTTATTTATTCGTCAATCAATCAAATTGTAGACTACATATTAACATTAGGACCTATGTTCTATGACTTCGCAGGGTTCTGAAATATATTTTTAATTCTGTTGAGAGCATATTTACACACTAAGATTTTGTTTCCGTGTTCGGTAAATTTTACCGAAATCAGAACAGCTGAACGTTCGGTAAAACTTTGACATTCATTTTAAAGGCTATTGAATTTGAAAATAATATCACAACATGTTCAACCTTGTTTAAATGATCAAATCTTGTCGTTTTAGTGGAGATTTAGTTTCAAAGTAGCTGAAAGCAATTGAATTGAATTGCATAAATTTTACCGAAAAGTTCAGCTGTTCAGATTTCGGTAAAAATTACCGAAGTCGGCGATAATTTCTAAGTGTGTAGGTCAATCATTGCACAATGATGATTATTAACAGTCATCATCTGATTTACCTCCAAATTTAGCGTAATTGGTCCGATGGCAATCTACTGCGAACAAGTGTCGATTGCGTAATTGTCGGGAAGGTGCATACAAATTTAATCTTGACAATAAATCAGCTAGAAATGGTTAAGTTGCAAAATGGAACCTCTGCTTCGTTGGCATCAGCCGCTCAAAATGAAAACACTTTTGAGATTTTGTCTTCCTATGAACTGGACTCTGACATAGCAGATGAGAGTGAGTCTCTGGAGGTACACGCGCCCGGTAAAAGGAAGCCGACTAGCTCCCCGGGAGTGCGCCGGAAAAAAATAAAACCACTTTCAAAAGCATGCAAAAATCTGAAGGTAGCGGGGATTCATTGAAAAAGCCGAACAAATCGGTAATTGCTGCTCCATCTGATCCTTGCTGCAGCTTTTCCACCCCGCCGTTACCTAATTAAGGTAATCGTAAGAGATTACCAAAAATAAACACCAATTCTACTCGCAATTCAAAGAAAACTCTCCCGTCCAAGCGAGGAAAGATTAAATTTAAGGACATTGTGGATAACATTTTGAATGCCCTCGGCTTTCTCGACGAATCGCCACTTCGAGGGCTTATTGACCTGCTTGTTCCTATAGTCGGAAACTGCTTCAAGCAATTGACTGCATCATGGCCCCTCATTGGTGAATTCATATCTTTCGATGGATAATTCGTCGAGTGAGGATCAAGATATGATCACTTTATTACAATGGAACTGTCGTAGTTTAATACCTAAATTAGACTCGTTCAAGTATTTGATTCACAATTCTGATTGTGATATATTTGCACTCTGTGAAACTTGGTTTTCTTCTGAAGATGAACTAAACTTCCACGATTTTAACATTATCCGCCTGGACCGAGATGATTCATATGGTGGCGTACTTTTGGGGATCAAAAAATGCTACTCCTACTATAAAATCTCAATCCCAATAATTTCAGGCCTTGAAATTGTCGCTTGCCAAATAAATGTGAAGAACAAAGATCTTTGCATAGCTTCTGTATATGTCCCTCCAAGGACTTCCATAAACCGCCGTCAGCTTTGGAGTTCAGTTAATATCCTTCCATCTCCAGTTCTAATACTGGGCGATATGAACTCACACGGTACTGGTTGGGGCGAATCATACGATGACAATAGAGCGGGTATTTTCTATGATTTGTGCGACGATTTCAACTTGACTATCTTGAACACTGGTGAAGCAACACGTATAGCAAACCCTCCTGCTCGAGAGAGCCGTCTTGACATTTCTTTGTGCTCTAACTCACTATCATTAGATTGTCTGTGGAAGGTTATCAATGATACCCATGGTAGTGATCACTTGCCAATTATTATTTCAATCAAAAGTGGTCGTCTAAAAACAGATCAGTCAATTCAAGTTCCTTTTGACCTCACGAGGAACATTGATTGGCAAAATTTGTATCGGTGGTAATTCTTGGAATTGATTCTACCGATCCTCTACCACCACTGGAATAGTATCGTTTCTTTACCGAGCTAATCTACAAAAGCGCATTAGATGCTCAGAAACGACGTGTTCCAAGTGCATCCCTCAAAAGAAGACCCGCCACCCCTGGATGGGATGACGAATGCACAAAGTTGTATCTTGAGAAATCCGATGCCTTTAAAGATTATCGTAGACATGAAAGATCTGAGCTTTTTGAAAAGTATCTAAAGCTTGAAAAAAAGCTTAAAAACTTACTAAAAGCAAAGAAACGAAATTACTGGCGTACTTTTATCGAGGGACTTTCTAGAGAAACCTCACAACGCTTTGGAAAAAGGCTCGCTATATATGCGAAACCGCTCATCTTCCAATGAGAGTGAAGAATACTCCTCTTAATGGATATTCGACTTCGCTAAAAATGTTTGTCCAGATTCTGTTCCAGCACAACCAACTTTACGGGATACAGTCCGAAGTAACGGTTCTCTGGATGAACCATTCACAATACTGGAATTTTCAATGGCACTTCTTTCATCGAATAACTCTGCTCCGGGAAGCGATATGATCAAATTCGACCTTCTAAAAAACCTCCCCGATATCGCTAAAAGACGATTACTTAACCTATATAATTCATTTATGGAACTCAATATAGTTCCACCAGCATGGAGACAGGATAAAGTAATAGCTATTCAAAAGCCTGGGAAACCAGCATCTGATCACAATTCTTACCGTCCGATCTCTATGTTATCATGCCTGAGGAAATTATTAGAAAAAAATATCCTAATAAGACTTGACCATTGGGTCGAATCAAACAAGCTACTTTCAAATACGCAATTTGGTTTCCGGAAGAGTAAAGGAACAAACGATTGTCTAGCGATGCTTTCATCTGATATTCAACTGGCCTTTGCGCACAAGGAGCAATTGGCTTCAGTCTTTTTGGATATTAAGGGCGCATTTGATTCGGTTTCCATAGACATACTGTCAGACAATTTGCACAGTAGTGGATTACCCGGTATTTTGAATAATTTTTTGTATAATTTGCTGTCAGAAAAACAAATGACCTTCAATCTAGGTCAACTGACAACTTCTAGAATTAGCTACATGGGCTTACCCCAAGGTTCATGTTTAAGTCCCTTACTTTATAATTTCTATGTCAAAGATATTGATAACTGCTTAGATAATCTATGCACGCTTAGACAGCTTGCAGACGATGCCGTGGTTTCCACGAGAGGTCCACGTGCAGAAATCTTGCAAAGACCAGTGCAAAATTCCCTAAATAATCTGTCTCTCTGGGCAAGAAATTTAGGGATCGAGTTTTCACCGCAAAAAAACTGAATTGGTAGTGTTTACAAGAAAGCGGTTTCCAGCCCAACTGCATCTAAATCTTTTGGGCAGAGACATTACCCAATCTTTAACCTTCAAATACCTTGGAGTCTGGTTTGATTCAAAATGCACTTGGGTGTAGGGATTATTGACTACTATGTAGTCAATAATCCCTACATTGGGGTACCCACATTACGTATTTGAAACAAAAGTGTCAACAAAGGATCAACTTTCTACGATCAATTTCCGGGACATGGTGGGGTGCTCACCCGGAAGACCTCATTAAACTATATAAAACGACTATTCTTTCAGTTCTTGAGTATGGCTCTTTTTGCTTTCTCTCGGCAAGAAAAACCTACCTAATTAAATTGGAACGCATTCAATATCGTTGTTTACGTATTGCCCTTTTTTTTCTTTTTTTTTTTCCTCTGTTCGGGACATAAAACCACTGCGACCAGTAATTTGATCTATTGTAGTATATCCCGTGTCCTTAGTTTAGTGCATGTCGTATTACTCCATCACTATTGAGAAATGATGAAGCATTCGATTTTTTTTTACAGTTGTCATTCTCGCATTTATCGCAAGGATCCGACTCTAATTGAAAGGTACCGCTATTTATACCCTTCGGAGTGTTGGAACACCCTCCAAAGGCGCGCTCCTTTGTCAATCAAAATTGGATCTCTTAGCAACAAAAACAAGCAATGACACCGATAATGACCATGCATCAGAACCCTAGTCTTAACCACTTCAAACTAGAGAACAATGAATAGAAGATTTGGAATCACATAGGTGAAGACTAACTCATTTTTTCCTTGTTTCAAGATCATCCTCGGTCAAGGCAACCCGGGGACTTGTCACTATCAACAAGGCATAAAAAGTAACAAGGACTAAGATGTGTTCCTTTGATTACTGAAAAATCCTGTTCCCCTAGTCTGAAGTAGACAAGACTAGGAATCGGTGGTAGATCTTACATCCCGTAACGTACCA